AAATAAAAGCTTTTGACAGCAAAGTGTCCCTGTGTCTGTCTGGGTGCAGCGTCTGCCACCCACCCAGGTTTTGTGGGCCCTGGCCAGGTTTGTATGATCTTGGACTCAGAGTCTTGGGGAGCCTTGGGCTGTAAAGCTCTGCCTGAACCCTCCTTGAGGCCTCTCTAGGATTCAGTTCATCTTGGGGCTGATAGCCGGTGCCCCAAGTATCCTATGGCTGGGTACCACAGTCACTGCACCCTTAGAAACGCCTCTCATCTGTAGCCCACCTACTCCGCGCTGTCTCGTGTGGTTGGAGTTGTGGGGTCTGTTGGCTTGAACTGTGTCAGCCTGTTGCAAGCCCGTTGACCTTGTTATCGGTGGCATTAGGCAATCTTTCTGGAGTTGAGCAACATTAGGTCTGAAGGTGATCATCTGGGCACTGATTTTTAAAGAGGCCAAAGGTCGACTGTGTTGTCCTTAATGAGAACATTCTAGTTCCAACCTCCACGCTCTCTCAGGGTCCAGGCTAGGGGCTAGACAGCAGGTGGATAGCGTTTTCTAAAAGGAGTCTGAGGCTGAGAGGGAATAAGTTGGCTTACACGCACATTCCTCTCATGGCTCTTTATTCTTCAAGAATGGAGGCTTCCCAAAAAAGTTCTCTCAAAAGCTCTCTTTAAGATTTCTCTCTAAAAGCTCTTAAAAATTCTCTAAAGTTCTTTCTAACGTCTCCAAAAGTTCCTTCTTCTAAAAGTTCTCCTGAGGTCTCTCCTATCCCACAAGGTTCTAGTTTTTGTATCCACAGGCACATGGAACAACTCACTGACAAGGGGGCATGCATGTCTCCCAGAGCCAGGAGAGAAGCAGGTGCCTCACGCCTCTCTCCCTGGACAGGACTTGCAAAACGTTCAGCGGTGACTTGACTTGTAGAACGTGCTGTTAACTGATTAAAGGGGGCTTCTCAGCGCTGTATCAAAGGGAAAAACTAAGGCTGTGTAGTGTGAGAGTCTGAGGCTGCAGCTCTTGCTGCTGACACCCGAGTGAAAAGGAATTCCTTTCTCTGGGGCCTGTTTGAGATTATAAAGCACCCAGTGTATATTCTACATACACCCAAATTCGCAGTAACAAGTATTCTGGAGTTATACCTAGAATATTAATTTCTACTTCTGTAATAAATGATAAAGGCTCCCAGCAGTTCCTGAAATAAGGGACACCCTCTCTCCCCACCCTGCCTGCCTAGCTTTCCCCAACTTTGGCGTCACCTTCGGTTATTCATGGGTGACCCCCCTCCCGGAAATTTACTGAGGTCAGACGAATCTGTCATTGGAACATTCCACAGGGATTCATGACCTGTCATTTCTTGTTCTGCCCAATGATTGGTACCAGGCCCATAGCTGCTTATTCCAGGAGCTCATAACTGGGAGAGTCAGCAATGAGACTAGGTAGTTGCTGTGCCCTGGGAGAGGTGAGCCGTCAGGGCTTAGCCCAGTGAGGAGAGCACCAGAGAGGCGTGGAGTATGTCCTGTGGGTTACTTTTTGTGGTTTTGGGACAGGGTCTCGTGTTCTAGGTTGGCCTCAAACTTGGCATGGAGCCTCCACACTTGAGTTCTTGGGTCATAACACAGATCACCACACCAAGGATTTTGCAGCGCTAGGAATGGAACCCAGGATTTCATGCATACCAGACAAGCACTTTACCAACGGAACCATATCTCCAAATGATTTTTGACTTTTTGAGACAGGCCTTACACAGCCAACGCTGACCTTGAACTCCTGATCCTTGGCTCCCCTGAAATTATAGGAGTTCCCCAGCATGCTGGGTAGATTTGTTTGGTAGGTGGAGTTGGGCAAAGAAAACAAAGATAAGGGAGTTTGAAATAAAGAAAGGGAGACACACAAAGGCTGGGGACAGGACAGAGCACATTTTGGGACTCTGAAACTTGTCATCACTGATGTTTGTATTTGAATGTGTGGAAAGAGGTGCTGAGGTAAACAAAGACACTTCAGGAGGGGCCTCCACAGCCACCGGGGTTCCTAGTCACCCCATCAGATAGGACTTTGGCGAAGCTATGGTCCTTCTGGGTATTTCAGAACATTGGGTTTCTTTCTTCTTTTTTTTTTTTTTTGGTTTTTTTTTTTGAGACAGGGTTTCTCTGTGTAGCTTTGGAGGCTGTCCTGGAACTCACTCTGTAGACCAGGCTGGTCTTGAACTCACAGAGATCCGCCTGCCTCTGCCTCCCGAGCGCTGGGATTAAAGGCGTGCACCACCAACGCCCGGCTCAGAACCTCGGGTTTCTTAACAGCTGCATCTATTTCCCCCAAACCAGTCACCAGAGCAAGGTTTAGTTGTGGCCTGTGTCACCCATAGGAGACGATGCTGCTCTTATGAACCAGCCCCAGAAATCCCACCCCCTTCTATCTCCTGAGGCAAGGCCAGGGGTCCAGGCTAAACCTCCAGGGGCCTCTGCCACAAGGACCTGCCAGCTCACCCAGCTTTGGGTAGCACAGCTGGATTCTCACCTTGGTTCTCCTGTTGTACTCTCTTGGTGTGGAGATGGACCCCTCACCCTGGGGTCTGTCTGTAAAGCTGGGGATGGGGAGCTAGGGGACTTCTCACACAACTCCTTGAATAGTCTCTCCCCAGTTGCTCTGCTAGGCTCCCCATTGTGCCCTATCAGAGCTCTTGATCGGGTCCTGAGGGAAATGCATCTCTTACAGCTATAAATTCTGAACCAGCTGTGTCTGCCCAGCTCCCTCCTAGGGAGGCCCCGGTTGGTAGACTGTCTTCTTCACTCTGGGATCTATTTTCTCCCTGGCTGGTTCTGTGACCCAAGGGCCCTGACCCTCCAGACAGCCTTGTTCTACCCATGCCTAAAACACCAGTGTCCAAATGGCAAAGAGAGAGCAAGAGCACACATCATGCCTTTTTCTGTCTCCCACCCATGGCCTGTGGCCTACGAAGGCCAGCAAGGACCGTTCTCCTTTTCGAGTCTCAAGGCGAGATTCCATACACATCTATCGTGATTTTTTTTGTTTGTTTTTGTTTTTCTTGAGACAGGGTTTCTCTGTGTAGCCCTGGCTGTCCTGGAACTCACTCTGTAGACCAGACTGGCCTTGAACTCCTGCCTCTGCCTCACTGAGTGCTGGGATTAAAGGTGTGTGTCACCACCATCTGGCTTTTTTTTTCTTTCTTTCTTTCTTTCTTTCTTTCTTTCTTTCTTTCTTTCTTTCTTTCTTTCTTTCTTGTAAGTCAGCTCAGTTGGTCATTTTGTTGTTGCAGCAGTCAAGGACAGCAGCAGCTGCTGGTAGTTACAGATGCAGGTTCTGCCCTGGTTGCCTGCTGGAGCCTGGTTCTGCTTCAGCAGCTGCACTCGCGAGTGCACACACACACACAAGCCAGCCTTGGCTGGGCGTTGGTGGCGCACGCCTTTAATCCCAGCGCTCGGGAGGCAGAGGCAGGTGGATCTCTGTGAGTTCGAGGCCAGCCTGGTCTCCAGAGCGAGAGACAGGACAGCTTCCAAAGCTACACAGAGAAACCCTGTCTCGAAAAACAAAAACAAAACAAAACAAAACAAAACAAAAACCCACAAAAAACAGGGACAACAGTGTAGCCTACACAGCATGGCTTCGGGGAGCAAAGTTAGGAGAGTGTTTGGTACACATAGTTCTAAAGTGGGGTGGGTTGTGGTTTCTTGTCTCCTGACACTTTTCTGTGTGGTGATGAGGAAAGAACCCGGAGCCTCTGTGTGAGGAAGCACCATCAGAGCCTTTCTTAGCCTTGTCTCGTCTGAGATGGGGTCTTGCTATGTAGCCCAGGCTGACCTCAGACTCTGTCCTGCTGTCTCTGCTGGCTCAGTGCTGAAATTACAAGAACCACCATGCCTCACTCTAGACATTTCTGACAGTGAAAGAGGCCATATAGCTAATGTCCACTGGGCCAGGCATTGTGGTCTATGCCTGTGATCCCAGCATTTGGAAATGGGAACAGAGGGAGCACTTATAAGCCATCCTTGGCTGCATATTGTCTTCAAGACTAGCCAGGGCTGCATAGTAAAACCTATCTCCAAAAAAAAGGTCTGGTTGTGTTTTTGTTTAGTTTTACACATACACATAACACAAAATATAATAAATAAATGAAAAACTAAACAAAACCCTGTGTTTTGTCTGTATGCATGTGTGTGCATGAAGTACACCCTGGAGCCGGAAGGGGGCACTGGAACCCCTGAGCTGGAGTTACAGAAGGTTGTGAGCTGCCACGCAGGCGCTGGTGAGCGGCCATGCAGGCGCTGGGAACACAACCTAGGTCCTCCTGGGCAGTGGCAGCCAGTACTCTTAAGCACCGAGCCACCTCTCCAGCCCTGTGGCACTTGCTTGCCACTCCAGAAATAGAGAGACAGAGACAGGAGCATCCCTGGTGCTCAGCGGCCAGCCTGGAAAAATGACAGCTCAGGGGTCTTTTCATCTGGTCAGACTACCCGGGATCGACCTTTGGCCTCCACAATGCACCTCTTCTGTCACCGCAAAAAGCCTAAACCACAGCAAAGAACAACAACAACATAGGGGACCTGGTATGGTGGTGTGTCTGTCATCCTAGCTATTTGAGGGGCTGGTAGAGAATTCCAAGTGTGAGGCTCTGCCTGAGCTCTACATAGTGAATTCAAGGTACCCTGGACAGCTTAGTGAGACTCTGTCTCAAATGAACAAAAATGGGGCATAGGTAGGGAGGCCTCACCCGGAATGTATAAGGTCCTGAGTGCAGTCACTGGTATCACAAAAACAAAGTGGTAATAATAATAACAACAACAATAACAACAACAACAGCTTGTAAGGACTACAGGCAAACCCCAAAGGCCTATTGGGCAGAGACTGTCATTCATTTCTCTCCTCTGGGGCAAATTCACTCCACTCAGCTGGTCCAAGGTGGGGCATGGTGGGAGGGGCTGGGCTCAGGGCAGACCCCTCTGTCCACATGACTCACAAAGAGCTAGGGAAGTGGTCATGACTCAGAAAGGTCAGGGTTTTGCATCTCTTCCTTTCTTCCTGATGGATGGTACCATCTCTGATCCCTGGGTCTCCAAGGCCAGTGGGACGGTGCCAACTTGAAAACACGGCTCTGAATGTGGGACCTGGGACTGATAACGTCAGAATCATGGCTGGATGGATGGCTGGGGCCAAGCGCTATAAAAAGCCGTGTCAGGGTGCTGCATAAGTGTCCCGCCATGGTGCTACCTGGGCTGTGGCTGCTGCTGCTGCTGCTGCTGGCTGGCACCCGATGGCTGTGGGGCCAGTGGAAATTCTGGAACCTACACCTCCCTCCTCTTGCCCCGGGGTTCCTGCACTTTCTACAGCCCAACCTCCCCATCTACCTGCTGGGCCTCACCCGGAAACTCGGGCCAGTCTACAGAATCCGCATGGGGCTGCAAGGTGAGACAGCTCTTCCTCTTCCTATACCTGGCTGTCCCTTCCTGCTGACACCTGCTGATCCCCCCTCTCCACAGATGTGGTGGTGCTGAATTCTAATAGTACCATTAAGGAGGCCCTGATCAAAAAATGGGTGGACTTTGCTGGCCGACCCACGGTACCATATGGTAAGGGTTGAAGGCACTTGTGTTTTCTTCTTAAGATGGGACCTCCATCTTAAGGTGTTGGTGGCGCACACCTTTGATCCCAGCACTCGGGAGGCAGAGGCAGGCGGATCTCTGTGAGCTCGAGACCAGCCTGGTCTACAAGAGAGAGTTGCAGGAGAGCCTCCAAAGCCACAGGGAAACCCTGTCTCGAAAAACAAAACAAACAAACAAACAAACAATAAAAAGACAGGACCTCACTATGTAGCCCTGGCTGACCTGGAAATCACCCTGTAGTCTAGGCTAGCCTCGAACTCACGAAGACACACCTGGTGTGGCCACTGCCCTGGACTACTTCTTAGACTGGGGGAGGCGGGTCAGGCCTTTGGCTTCCTTAGTTAGTCACCATTCTCTCCACCATCCCTCCTACAGAGAAGCTAGACTTGGACCTGTCACGAGGGGACTACTCTTCGACATGGAGGACCCACAAGAAACTCTCTCGTTCAGCTCTGATGGTGGGCATGCGAGGCTCCACGGAGCCCATAGTAGAGCAGCTGACCCAGGAATTCTGCAAGGTAATGCAGCACTTGTCTGGCATGGCCCTCCTGGGGTCAGCCCCCCGCCCCGCCCCAGGACGTACCCCTTTATTTCCACAGCCTGTCTCTCTGTGTCCTGCAGCGCATGAGAGCCCAGGCTGGCGCCCCCGTGGACATCCACCAGGAATTCTCTTTTCTCACCTGCAGCATCATCTGCTATCTTACTTTCGGAGACAAGGTCAGGGCTGCCCTCTGGCCCCTCAGGCCCGTCCCTCAGCCCCTCCTGGCCCTTGGCTGGTCTTGAACTCAAAGTGTGCCCTCCCGTTCTGACAGGATGACACTTTGGTGCACACTGTCCATAGCTGTGTCCAGGACTTGATGCAAGCCTGGAGCCACTGGTCCATCCAAATCTTGGATATAATTCCCTTTCTCAGGGTGCGGAAGCCCAGCCCAGACTCCGCATACTTGGGGCGGGGGTGGGGATGGGGGTGGCTGGTCTCCATCCCTCCTGCAGCTGACTCCTGTCCCTGCCCCAGTTCCTCCCCAATCCAG